CCTCAGCCCTAAGCCTTAAGCCCTAAGCTCTAAGCCCTAAGCCTTAAGCCCTAAGCCCTCAGCCCTAAGCCCTAAGCCCTAAGCCCTAAGCCCTAAGCCCTAAGCCCTAAGCCCTAAGCCCTAAGCCCTAAGCCCTAAGCCCTAAGAATGGTTGGCGTCGAACGGGCCCGAAGTGTAACCTTCCCCTGGGGCCTAGGGCCCTGTGGATCCTATAAAGTAGTACGCTACACTATCCTACCCTTACCTTATCTAAGACACTTCGATATCCTTAGGGCTAAGCTTTATATTTAATATAAAAGCCCGAAAGCCCTATATCGTTAACATTATTAATTAATCTTCCTCTTTATTTCTTCTGACTCTTTTCTTAGAAATTTATTTCATTTTTATTTATTTGGATAATACCTTAAATCTACTTTCTTTTATCTCTCTCTTCGATCCTTTTATTATATTTAATCACTTAATCGTATCTTTTTAATTTAACTCTAATAATTTACTTACCGCTATATTATTATACTCTAATCCTACGATAATATATCTCTTAATATATAACTATTATACTACTTTAAAAAGAGATAAACCATTTTACTTAAAAAATATTCCTACTTGATTTCTAATTCCTATATCGAAATATATCCTCTATAAAATATATCTTATTAATATCTATTACTCTCTTCTTAAATCTAAGATTATAAATCTTTTAATTTAAATATAATATTTATATAAATTACCTACCCTTTAGTACTATATCTCTCTCTCTCTCTCTCTCTCTCTCTATAAACCTTATAATACTATATATATTATATATTACTTTTAATAACTTAATTCTATAATTTACTTTTCTAATCCCTTTTTATACTTTATTATTTATACCTTTTTATTATTAATAATTTATATCATATAATTCTCTTAATAAATTCCTAAATCTAAACTATTCTTAACTTTATTAAATAATCTACTCTTTACTTTACTTAACTTAAATCCTTAATTAATATTTATCTCTTAATTATATACTATTAACTTAAATAACTCTTTTAATCTTTTAATTTATATAAAATAACTAAATAATAATTATAATTTATATAGTTATAGTTTATAAAATACCTTAGTATTATAGAACTACCTATTACTAATCGATAGTACCCTACTAGGTATATAGATAGGCTACCGAGAGCTAACTAATCTATTTATTAGTAGATTATATATAGTATCTAATACTCTAGTATCTCTAGGTATTTAAGAAAGAGAAAACCTATTTATACTTAGTAAGTAAAAGTATAATTAAGCCTAATTAAACTCCTTGCTAGGAGGTTTCTAGTATATATATACTTTAGGGTATCGGATATTACCTATACTAGGAATCGCTATATATAGAACTAGGGATATATAACTATAACTCCCGCATTAACTTAGAGAAGTATATATAGGAGTATATAGCGACTCTAGCGGTAACTCTAAAAAGTTATACTAGGAGTAGGAATCGAAAGATATATAAGGATACTTATTTATATACTTAGTTTAGTTCTTTATCTTTAATTATATATTATTACTTATATTTACCTTTTAGACTATTATAACTCTTTACTTAATTATAACTTAATAATACTTATAAGTAGACTAATACCCTAGTATAGATCTACTCGGTGCTCTTACTAGTATCGTTCCTCGATCTCTTAATAGGACTTAGGCTATAGTAAGGCCTTATAGGTAATAGCTTAGTTATAATAGATCGTTAATGTTAGATATATAAGGAGTATTAAGGCAAGTATACCTAGAACCTATCTAACCTAACTATAACTAGTTAGTAGTGCGTAACACTTAGTAGATTTTATATTTATTATAATATATATTCCCTAAAATATTATTACTATTAAAAATATATATCTTAACCCTTAATAATTAATATCGTATATATTATTTATATAATATCCTTATACTTTAATTACTCCTATACTAACTACTTTATTTTACTAATTTTACTATTATAAGGTATTATATATTCTAATCTATATATATTATAGAAATACTTCTATAATTAGACCTAAATTTTAGTTAGTATTATATATTTAAAGTAAAGTATTTATATAATTTATATACCCTAAAATTCTTTTTTACTAATCCTTTATAAACCCTTTATATACTTAATTCTTCCTTTCTTCTTTTCTTTATTTCTCTATACTTAGTATTCTTATTAAAATATACTCTTTACTTTAAAGAAGTACCGGGTAATACTATAACACTAACCTACTTTAATACTAATCCCTTTTTTTTCTAAAATATAATAATAACCTATCTTTTTATATCTTTTCTTACATAAATAATACACAATACGATATATTATAATTTAAAAACTACTAAAATACGCCTTTATATACTTAAATATATACCTATATAATATATACTATTTTTCGAGAATTAATATTTATATTATTTATAGTACTAAGCTAAGTACTTAGTACTACTAAGCTTTAATACTATACGATATATTAAGCCCTAAGTAAGATATATCTCTCTTTTAATTAAAATTCTCTTTTATTTATATATTATATACTACTAAGCCTTTATATATTATTCCTATAACTTAAATAAAATTCTATTATTTATATATCTCTTATATAATATTAAATATACTTATACTATACTATACTATACTATTGACTATTATTATAATAATTTTTAATTTATATATAATATTAATTTAGATTATACTTTTACCTAAATTTAGGTTCTATACTTTATATTATTTTTTAATATAGTTAGTAGTACTATACTATAAAAATAACGTTATAACTATAGACTTCCTCTTCTCCCACATTTTCGACCAAGCGCTTCTCCCACATTTTCGACCAAGCGCTTCTCCCGCATTTTCGACCAAGCGCTTCTACTACATTTTCGACCAAGTCCTTCTACTACATTTTCGACCAAGTCCATCTCCCGCATTTTCGACCAGGCGCTTCTCCTGCATTTTCGACCAAGTCCATCTACTACATTTTCGACCAAGTCCATCTCCTGCATTTTCGACCAAGTCCTTCTCCTGCATTTTCGACCAAGCGCTTCTCCCGCATTTTCGACCAAGCGCTTCTACTGCATTTTCGACCAAGTCCATCTACTGCATTTTCGACCAAGTCCATCTCCCGCATTTTCGACCAGGCGCTTCTCCTGCATTTTCGACCAAGTCCATCTACTGCATTTTCGACCAAGTCCATCTCCTGCATTTTCGACCAAGTCCTTCTCCTGCATTTTCGACCAAGCGCTTCTCCCGCATTTTCGACCAAGCGCTTCTACTGCATTTTCGACCAAGTCCTTCTCCCGCATTTTCGACCAAGCGCTTCTACTACATTTTCGACCAAGTCCTTCTACTACATTTTCGACCAAGTCCATCTCCCGCATTTTCGACCAAGCGCTTCTCCCGCATTTTCGACCAAGCGCTTCTCCCGCATTTTCGACCAAGTCTATCTCCTGCATTTTCGACCATACGCTTCTCCCGCATTTTCGACCAAGCGCTTCTCCCGCATTTTCGACCAAGCGCTTCTCCCGTATTTTCGACCACACTAATTTCTGACCGTGGTCAGAAATCCTACTAGGTAGGCCCTCTTCTCCTTACGACCATACCCTTCTCCCATATACTAATTTCTACCTACTTATCTCTGACCACGGTCAGAAATCCTACCTAAAGGGGGGGGCCTATCTGTCCTTCTAGTAGTAGTATGATATATATGTACGGTATCCCTACTCCTCCCTACTATCTAGTTAATAATCTCTGACTATGGTTATAAAATAGTAGTGTGTGGATATATATTATATAGTAGTACTTCTATTCCTCCCTATATTATCATCTACATATGTATGAATATATCCTATTGTCTCTATATATCGTCTCTTATTTTACTACCTAAGTCTTTTGACTACAGTTCCTTCGATTGTGATCTATACTACCATACGGAAAAAAATCGAGGAACTGGGTATAGAAAAAAAAGAGGTAGATTGCGTAATAAATTAGGATGTAGAAGGAAACCTAAAGAGGCTCTGCTCAAACTTTCGTGTATGGTGAGCTGCTGACTGTGGTAGCCGAGGTCGCGTGGGTCGCGACTGGGCACGTTGAGCGGCGGTATGCGCTACCCGTCCCTTCGCGACTCTGCTTAACTCCGCGGGGGAGAGATTCACGTCAGCAAGGTATATCGGTACATCCTCCTGTGCACTAGCCGAGTACATTAGTAGAATAAACGTGGATAGACGTGTATTGAGAGACTAACCTCATCAGCTGAATCTTCATATTCCTAGCTTTGTAGCGGTATTTTTTGGCATCCCGGCCGGGGTGGATCCAGTCTGACTTTGGGCCCTTAGTCCACCCGATATAGTTGTCATTCCAGATAGCCTGCCAGGCAGTGCCGAACTCCTGTAGGAGCTCCTGGAGTTTAGCCACCTCGGCTCGACCCCAGTGGGGTGGTGGGTGTCCAAACCGGTGTACTGGGATATCGGCTTCCTGTGTTTTTGTTTTTGTTGTGCGTTGCTGCGCTGGACGACGATCGGTTTGTTCTACCAGAGCCTGAACAGCTAGCTCCTCCTGATGTAATCGGACCCTAAGGTCTGTGTAATCCCTACCGGGGCTACTGTGTAAACTAGCCTGTGATGGGTTATACACCGAGTCTATGTCGCTATGTGGGTCGGAGTGAGTACTAAAGATAGTACTACCATAGACAGTCGGCGCGGCGTCAGGGAAGTCAACATGATGGAGGGGCACCTGGCCTCCTTCTGCCAAATAAGGGGACTGCAGGAGTGGTTGGGATACCTGAAGAGGCTGGGGTGGTTGCTTGGTAAAAAGCCTGGCGCGTTTCTCTATGGGCTGAGCTCCTGGAGATAATTCTGTGCTTGGACGTTTCTGTGGACCACACGGCGATTGTGTCCAGGGAGATAGTGCGACTGTTGCTACCGGAGTCACTGGTGTTGGACCTCTAGGAGACGGTGTTACCGGTGCTGAGACCCGGGGAGACGATGCTCCCGGTGCTGAGATCCGGGGAGACGATGCTCCCGGTGCTGAGACCCTGGAGGACGATTCCACTGGTGTTGTTGGTACTGAGACCCGGGGAGACGATACTACTAGTGCTGCCGGTACTGAGATTCTGGAGCTTGGTGCTGAGACCCTGGAGGACGATGCTACCGGTGGTGTTGGTACTGAGACCCTGGAGGACGATGCTCCTGGTGTTGCTGGTACTGAGACCCGGGGAGACGATACTACTAGTGCTGCCGGTACTGAGATTCTGGAGCTTGGTGCTGAGACCCTGGAGGACGATGCTCCTGGTGTTGTTGGTACTGAGATTCTGGAGGACGATGCTACCGGTGGTATTGGTACTGAGACCCTGGAGGACGATGCTCCTGGTGTTGCTGGTACTGAGACCCGGGGAGACGATACTACTAGTGCTGCCGGTACTGAGATTCTAGAGCTTGGTACTGAGATTCTGGAGCTTAGTGCTGAGACCCTGGAGGACGATGCCACTGGTGTTGTTGGTACTGAGACCCTAGAGCTTGGTGCTGAGATTCTGGAGGACGATGCTGAGATTCTGGAGGACGATGCTCCCAGTGCTGAGACCCTGGAGGACGATGCTCCCGGTGTTGTTGGTACTGAGACCCGGGGAGACGATGCTACCGGTGCTGAGACCCTGGAGGACGATACTGAGATTCTGGAGGACGATGCTACCGGTGTTGTTGGTACTGAGACCCGGGGAGACGATGCTACCGGTGCTGGGACCCTGGAGGACGATACTGAGATTCTGGAGGACGATGCTCCCGGTGCTGAGACCCTGGAGGACGATGCCACCGGTGTTGCCGGTACCGAGATTCTGGATGACGATACTGAGATTCTGGAGGACGATGCTCTCCTTGAGGGTGTATCCTGATGACACTTAATGATTCGCTGAACGCCCCATATTTGGTCGAGCCGAGTCTGGTTTGAGCTAAGAGAACTAGATCTCCGCTGCCGAGTTGAGGTAGACCGCCGTCTAGATGGCTTAGGGGGGCTACGAAGGCGAGCCTTTCCTTTGTCTTGTGTATTGGGGGGGTTCCACGTAGGGCTCTCTGAGCTAGCAAGTGACCGTGGAAGTATAATAGCCATTAGGATCTAGTGTAAGATATTGGTAACAAAGAAGTGGTAAATAATCTAGTAAATAATCTATCTAGTTGTTTAATATATCTATACTCCGTAGTTATAGGTTAAAATGAGACTTACTATATTTAGAGTTTGTAGGTCTCAACAAGTCGATCTATCAACTCCGAGACAGCTGGTAAGCAAGAGCCAGGGGGTTCAGGGGGTTCAGGGGGTTTGGGGACTCGAGTCACACGTTTTCGGGGTCAAAATGCATAGCCGCCAAATAGGCACCTATAGATCTTGTGGATTCTTAGTATAGATCCCAAGCCTCTGTCTTACTAGGGTTTTTCATTTTACCTGCTCTTTGTTCTAGTCAGTATTTTATGTATACCCAGCGAGGATTCTTCCGGGGTTTAATATTAGGCTACAGTTTCTAGTATAAGAGGACCTATAGACCACAACCATGGTCGGCCGCCCACGAAAGTATCCTGATCGAGCTGCAGCGCTTGAGGCCCGGCGGCAGCGGTATCGACAGCGACAGCAGGCGGTCACAATCTCCCAGAGGGAGCAGGCCCAGGACGAGTCTACCTCACAGCCCGTCCAGCAGATCACCCAGTTCTACCATACATCGCTACTACCGCTAGAGGGAGACATAAGCGAGACTATACCACTCACCTCAACTGTCCACGATGCCTTTACTACGCTACGGGTAGAGATTAACCACGAGCAATTCGCAGCGAGCGATAGGGATGAGATCGACCATGAGCAGGAGCAGTTCATAGTGAGTGACAGGAGCAGTCTTGATCTCAATCTCAATACTACAGTAGGCGAGTGGATAATCAGTACCGACGAGGACGGGGAGGGGTCGATCCCCCCCCTAGTAGAGAGCGGTAGTACACCGAGTTCCGCGCAGCGGCAGGAGGGACAGTCGACAGAGCCTCCAGCGGTATCACCCCAGGTCCAGCAGCTCGCCCGTGGAATCGCGCAGCAGCTCCTCCAGCACCACGGGTGCCCACCTAACGGCCATGTCGAGCCGGAGCCGAGGGTGCCATCTGGACAAAGTATCATCAGCCTACGGGAGGCAACCCAACAAACTACCGTGCCGGACGTACTAGACCAACCGACCTTCCAACAATACCCTGCCCCGTGGGCCAATGATTTCGCGCCAATGGTCCGCCGGCAGCTACTCTGCGGCCTCAGTCCTGACGAGACCATGCACGGGGATAGCCCAAGGCCACCGGTGGTAGACCCAGGCATCGCAAACGCAGCAGTGCCGCCGGCACTCCCAGTATCGTTTGATATCGACAGCAGTGGGGGGTGGGCGACAAGTCTCGCCGTCGCGCGACAGGGACTATACTGGTTAGCGACACGCCCAGCGATCAGCACCCTCACTAGCTCCCTCCACCTTGATCCGCTCCTCGTCGAGTGGATGGACATAGATACCCAGCGGCTACACCACCGACACGTCCCAGTACACCACGTCCCCCACCTCCCACTTGGGCGGCTTCGTGGTTTCGAGGCCATGGAGGTGTTTATCCTCTTTCCTCGGCTCTACCAGCCATCCCGGAAGGCGTTTGTGTTAACCAGCGAGGAGTACTGCGAGTGGATGGACCATATCATGCTCCCAGCCCTCGTCAGTACACTACCCCAAGAGACCGTCAGCCGGCTACCAGGGAGTGGGGAGGAGGCGATGGCACGAGGGACCGCAGCTGCAGCCGAGGGAGCTACAGCTTCGACACACCAGCTACCACGGATCCAGCTCCTTACGCACTTTATCGGCCCAACCGCGCTAGGTACCATATGGGCAGCGATTCAGGATCAGCTAGCTCCTGGGGCCCATACAGCGAATGAGTACGGCCAGGCAAGACTCCTGCTTACATCGAAGAGCCTAAAGGGCGAGACGCGGCGGGATACATGGTCCCAGATGATGCAGGGCTGGAGGCACATATGGCTTACAGCGGTAGACGACCGGTTCCTAGCAAGCTCCTTTTTCGATGTAGCGAAGGAGGTAAGCCTCCCAGATCAGATCCTAACCCAGGAGGCGACTAGGCCACGGTATGCCCTAGAGCTCACATGGCGCCGGTGTTGCCTAAGTCGGTTCGAGGAGTGGCTTGTACAGCTCGAGACGACGCTGCAAGACCAGACTGAGTTAGCGACGGTACCCTCCCCACGACCAGCTGAGCCAAACCCCCTGACGCAGAGCCCGATTCACTCACCTAGTCCCTCTCTATCTCCGACCGAGCTGATCCCCCTGGTACAGAGCCCTATACAGAGCCCCGTACAGAGCCCTATGTCCTCGCCCTCACCGTCGTCCTCCCTACCTCCGACCGAGCCGATTCCCCCAGTACAGAGCCCGACGTCCTCGCCCTCCCCATCGCCCTCCCCATCTCCGACCGAGCCGATTCCCCAGACGCAGAGTCCAACGCCCTCCCCATCTCCCACCGAGTCGACTGCGCCGTCGACGAAGCCGGTACGGTCACGGTTCTGGCCCTGGGCGCTGCTGCGGGATACTGGGAGCCTGACTGTCGAGACGAACCGCCAATCGACCCTCCGACAGACTGGGCTCCTATACGCACAGCTATACAATACCTCAAAGGAGATTTTCGGGGTGGGAAAAACGTACCCGTTTGGGAATAAGGCGCTTGATACCCTCGCACTCCCGGCAGCGCTTGTCCGGGTTTTGGAGCATACCGGGGGAGGTCGTGCCCACTCCCGTGCCACATTACTCCGCGGGTATCTCCATACAAAGAAGCGGTGCCACCTTGCCCTCCAGGGGGCCGAGGACCGTTCGTATGGCACCCGTGAGGAGTATCGGGTGACGGCAGCGCTGCTCTCTGCGCTAGATAGCGAGATGGAGGCCCAGGGGGGGGATGGCGTACTCCGTGTCCCCCCGGAGGATATCGCGCTGCGGCCGTTCTACTGCCACACGACTGACGACGCAGTCCAGTGGCTGAGGTGGAATCTGAACCGTCTCTGCCTCGCGGTGGAGCTGGTATACAGCAGCCGCCCGGCAGGACAGCTCCACTGGGAACACTCCAGGGTGGCGATGGCGTTTCTACGGGCGCTGCACTACGGCCTGGGAGGGCAGGGGGCCTCTCCGTCCCACTGCCGGGAGCTCTGGATCAGCGAGCGAGTACAGCCGCCAGCCGAGGGCGAGGATAGGGGCACAGTGATCGAGGGCCTTGGCTGGGGGGAGACTATGCAGCAGTACGGGTTCGCTTGGTTCCAGGATAAATTCGACTGGGGACCGATGCTATTCCGGGAGCCGCACCGGGCCCGGCTTGCGATCCGGCTACCCTCACTCCTAGGAAGTTACCTCCCGCGCTACGGCGTAGTGCGGCAGGAGCTCGACGACTGGGTATTCCTGCACGACGTCTTCCTCCAGCTGGAGGCCTGTCGTGCACACCGCCCCCGAACGCGGAAGATCCTCGTGCTCCTCGCCGACCTCTGCCTGATGGCGTTTCGACGGGAGGTCTTCCGGCGGCTGTCGTCTGTCGAGCGGCTGCGAGGGCCCCGTGCCGCCGAGGCGCTCGAGGGCCGCCAGCCGCTAACGATGGAGGTGCTCCACGATATCCTACCCGGGGGCCGGCTGGCCGACCACACGTACCCGCTCGGGGCCAAGGGGATCCAGATCAAGCATATCGACACCATGTTTACCGTCCTCTGGGGGTGGGAGGGCGACGGGTGGCAGGGGGAGCTGGTGCAGCGGCAGCACTGGGCGTCGAAACCGTACCGTGAGCTATTCCACCGCAGCTTCGACGCGATCGCCGCGACACACTCCTACGAGACCGCGCAGGAATGGCGGAGGCTGGTTCACGCCACGTTTGTCCGCACCCACTGGGTACTGCCAAACCCAACCCAGCGCGACTTCTGGCCGAAGGGCAGAGGGGGCCGGCTACCGCTGTGGTGCAGCACCCACCCAGCCCTCGTCCAATACGTCTGCCGCGAGATGACAGGGCAGGTCGCCTACCAGCCCGTCGTGTTTCGCTGGACGCCGGCAGACCTACCGACGCTGCCGCGTACTGGGTGGGAAAGGAGCACTGAGGCCTTTGCGACCACGTTCCCGACCGGCTGCCGGGTCGAGGTGATTCTCCCATCGCTGCCGACTGACGGTATTGCAGACTGGGTGGGCGGGGATGCTCTAGATACCACCGACGAAGGTGGACCGCTGATACCGCCGCTGGACGAGGATGGAGAGATTGCCCACTGGATCTGGACACGGTACCCGCCACGGTACGCACTGCGGAAGCTGACCCAGCAGGCGAAGTGGGCCCCCGAGAATCTGATCCGGCAGCCGTGGCTAGTGACGAGCTACAGCGACGATATCTTCGCCCGGGTTCGTGCAGTGGACCGAGCGCGGTGTGATGCACTCAGGCTACGCCACTTTCCAAGACTAGAGGAACAGGTAGGCAGTGTAGAGCCGGAGGAGCTGAGCGACCCAAGCTCGATCCGAAGCGAGGAGCAGCGCGCCATCGCCGAGGATACCCGGCACCGTGAACTGGCGGCTAGAGCGAAGACGGCGCTTAGGAAGGTGTGGAAGTATGATACGCTGATGAAGGATTTGAAGAAGGATTCCCAGAAAGGCAAGGTCGTCAGGGGGTATAAGGTAGAATATGCAAGGGCCGCTACAAAGAGAGCTCTTGCACGGGAGGAGTTTTCGAGGCCGATCGAAGATATCCTCACAGAGTTAGATCCAGAGAGATTTCCGAGGGAGCGATTTGTGGCTGCGAGAAGAGAGCGACTAGCAGAGGCCGCTAAGCGGACAAAGGATAGTGGTGGGAAAGAAATGTAAACGGATGTAGCTAGGTTGATCTAATTAGAAAGTGGTTGTATTGCTAGCTTGGTATATAACTATCCTTTGGTAATATAGTCGGATAGTGTGCGACCATCCTGATTCCTGATGTTGTAGTCCGATAGGGTGCGGCCATCCTCAAGCTGCTTGCCAAGAGGGCATCCCTCCTCGTCTTGGATCTTGGATCTTGACGTTGTCGATGGTGCGGCACCTATACGATAATAGCTAGTTAGTATATATTTTATTCGATACTGGTTAGTCGGGACTTACCACCCTTGTGGTGGGGGTTTGTGGCTACCCCCTGCCTATTGTAGACTAGGAGCCAGAGGCTGGCTGCCTAGACTCTGGCAGCCAGCCTCTGGTATAGAGAGTTAGTAGACCACTTCGTCGAGTTGAGCGGGAGACAGGACTTACCTTGGGTAGGTGGCGTATAGGCTGGTGCTCGAGAGGTGGAGAGAGGGAGAGAGGGTGGGGAAGAAGGAGTGGGCCATTATATATCTTTGAGAATAGCGAGACGCGCGAGATAAATATATACTAGGTGCTCTCACTTCTGATTTTGCTGGGTGCTCTCACTGCCAGTCTTGCTGGGTGCTCTCACTTCTGATTTCTCTCACTTCTGATTTCTCTCACTGCCAGTCTTGCTAGGTGCTCTCACTGCCAGTCTTGCTGGGTGCTCTCACTTCTGATTTCTCTCACTTCTGGGTGCTCTCACTTCTGGGTGCTCTCACTACTGTAATCTCCTACTTGGAGGTTTTGTATGATAAGCCTAGTAGGTACATGGCATACCGATACTAACGTCAACTTTCTGACCGCGGTCAAATACTCATCCTACGTGGTAGCTGTAGTATCTCCTACTATATCCACCAAGTATATGCCTACGTGGTAGAATACCGGGAAAAAACCCAGGCCGGATTTACTACAGGTTCTATACGGAGTATACATTACACCGATTGACCACATAATTATCTACATCTAGGTAAGTAAAAGAGCGAGCCCGGGTGGTCATGGACGTCTTTTGTTAAACAAGTCTTCTATGTAGAGTCTAGACTATAGGTTAGGGCCTGCTATAATTATAATTCCCATAGTGGAATTTCTGACCGCGGTCAGAAAGGGGGGCCATATGTCACCGCCATACGTCACCGCCTACCATGGCTGCTTGGGTGGAATTTCTGACCGCGGTCAGAAAAGGGGGCTGAGCACCTGTCTCTTATCCTACAACATAGATGATTACTAGTCCACACGCTTCTCCCGCATTTTCGACCACACTGACTCTTGGGTGGACTTTCTAACCACAGTTAGAAAAGGGGGATCTCTTACCCTAGATAATTACTAATCCTACTAGATAATTAACATAGCACGCGCTTATGATCACATCTGCTTAGGTATTTGACTATCAAGAGGTGAACAGGACCCCTACCACAAGAGGAGAAGGCACGGAGACAGATAGCCTCAGGCCATCCCTAAAGACCGAGCACTCCTTCCATCGTCACCAAGTCATGTCAACTCCCGCCATTGGCAATTCATCAACTCATCCCCCACCACTAATTCACTCACTCATCAATTCATCTTCCACCGTCACCAAGTCATATCAACTCCCTCCATCATCAAATTCATCAATTCATATCGGGCATCAAATTCATATCGAGTAGTAGGAACCTAAAAAAACCCCCCTAGAGACGGTGTGCCTGGCAAAGAAGACCGAACCGTACGCCGTGTAGGATCGACCAAGGCGGCCCCTCTAGGCAGTCGCGTAACCCTCGTCGTCCGCGCCGTCTCCGCCAAACCTGGCTACCGGCTTAGGAGTAGATCCCTGGGCTGGTTGCGACGACGATGGGGAGGCGAGGTAGGCAGTGGCCACACGCTTGTGGCTCACGGGGCCCGGGGAAGCGTGGTCGCTCGCAGCTCGCTTCATGGAGCCGCGTAGGGAGTACCGCCGGCCACTCTTGCTCTTGCCTTCCAGCCCAAGGTCTTTGTAGTCGCCCATGGCCAGCCGGTCCGCACAGTCAGGGCCGAGACCAAGCATATGGTTCAGCAGCTGGTTCGCGAGCTGCTCAATGGTCGCGTCGCGATCCTCGGAAGACTCAGGGACCTGTCGCTCAAGGAACGGGCGGTACTGCGCGGCGATCTGCGGGAGGACCTTGGTCGCATTGTTGAACTCCATGTACCGCTGGATGGTGTGGTCCATAAAGAGTACCCACGCACGCTGCTCCTCGCGCTGGCCGAGGCGGTGGATCCGCCCGATGGTCTGGAAAAGGGAGTTGTGGTTCAGCGCAGACTCCATCAGGATAATTCGGCTGCATTGGGAGTGCATATTCAGACCGGTCGCACCACAGTTGTAGGTGGTGACCAGGACCTGGGTAGACGAGCTGGGGTCATTGAAGCGTGCGATGGCGCTCGAACGCAGAGTGTTCGACATAGCGGCCCGGATCACCACAAAATCCAGCGGGAGGGTACCGAGGAACATCTGGACCAGCCACAGGGTCAGGGGCCAGTGGCAGAAGATCAGGAATCGGGGGTGTGAGCCCACCGAGTCGAACACGCCTTGCTGAACCAGAATGTGAAACAGGTAACGCAGGCGGGGGCTCTGGTGAGCGAGGTACCGCGCCATGGCGACCCGGTTCGTCGGCACGGACGCAGACGGATCCTCTGTGGTTCGTGACCAGAAGAGTCCAAACCCGTGGTCGTCTCCGCGCTCAGTGAAGCGAGAGATCTCAGCGGAGAGAACGCTGGACGGGGACCGTCGGAGAAACCGGTCCAGCTTGGGCGAGACAGACAGGTGACAGAGCATACGGAAGGTTGACCAGTTCATACTAGCAGGACTGTCCGCAGGCACAGCCGGGGCGGCGGAGGAGTCGCCTGGGGGCCCGTAGAGGCTCTCGCAGAGGATGGTGAACCCGCGGTTGTGGATATCCTGCGTGTGGCGGGTGTAGCGAAGCTCAACGGTCGAGATGTGGAGGCGTGGGATGTCTTCCCCGATGACCACGACGGCACCGTGGGGTCCAATCATCTGGTTACCGGTCTCACGGGTCAGGCTGCTGAGGCGGAGGACAATCGGGAGGGCCAGGAACCCACTCGCCGTCGAGAGCTTACCCCGCCGAGCGAGAACCACCAGGCCACGGGGATCCAGCAGGAAGTAGGGCTTTCCCTCAGCAGGAAGCTGGTCTACCGCCGACCACTGGGTGTAGGGCTCCAGCGGGTCTGCTGCGGCAGCCGGGGTGGGATTCATGCTAGGAGGGAACTTTTGCGGGCTGTCTGCGGGGATTTTAAACTCGGTTCTCCACAGCAGTGCGAGATAGCCACAGTAGTCCAAGGCCCGGTTCCACATCGGGGTAGCTGTCACACACCAGGTATACTCCCGGTCGAGGAGAGCGACCGACTGGTGCTGGCGTGAGGAGATGGTCTTGAGACGGTGGCCCTCGTCGCAGATCACACGGCAGAAGGAGGCCGTGACCTTGGTGCAGAACCGGCGGGGCTTGTGCGCTGCGGCCTTGTTCGGCGCGGACGGGCTGGCAGCCTGCTCCTGGAGCTCGCCAAGTTCCGTCACGGCAGCGTCGATGCCGGCAGGGGGAGGGGTGACTGGGCCGTCGGCGGTGTCGTCGGTGTGGTCAGCGACAGTGGTGTCAGCGTCAGTGGTGTCAGGCTGCTCGCTACCATCCCGCGGGGTTTGTGGGCCCGCTGGTATCGCCCCCGTGCCGCCTCCGTCGCCAGAGAGCGAAAGGGTGGCAATGTCGTCAATGTCAGAAGTGTCTTCGTCCATACCGGCCTCGGCGGCGGTAAGATCCAGCGCCATTGGGTCGGTCTCCTTACGGGCGGCCTTCCGAGGACGGCTGGCAGGATTGCCATCTTCGTCAATCTCCGCGGTGGTGCGGGTGGCCCACGTGTTGTACGACGACAGGACCACAGTACGGGCTGACGACACCTGGTCAGTCGGGCAGCAGCCGAGGAACGTGTTCAAATCGTCCAGCGACTCAAGCATGACGAGCTTCCGCTCAGAGTCACCGGTGCGGGACTTGGTGCTGTAGAACAGCCGGACTGTGAGCGCGTCGCCAAAGTGTCGATCGATCTCCAGGAGCCACGTATCAATCAGGGCGGAAGGTACCAGGATCAGGGAAGGCCGGTACGGAGGCTGGGACTGGACCAGCGCCGCCTGGTGGACGAGCGTCAGCGCAGTGAGCGTCTTTCCCAGGCCACAGGCGTCGGCCAGGATGCCGCCCCGTAGCGGGCTAGCTTCCTGCTGAAGCATCCAGGAGACCCCAGTAACCTGCCAGGGCTTGAGAGTGGTAGGACAGACTGGGTATGAGGAGACCGGGGTGAGTACCGGTAGCCCTGCGCTGTCGATAGAAAGTTGGGTATGCTGGACAGCGGTGTCAAACGGGTACGTCAGGTGGTCAAGGGACACATCCCGGGCGGACACAAGTGCGGCAGGGTCAGCCATCGGCATCGGCCTATCGTCGACGGAACCAGCATGGCCGAGAGAAGAGTTAGGGACCGAGAGCGCCACTAACGCAGAGCTCGCCGAGATCGCAGTCTGGAGCTGTGGGTTGTTCGGCAGGCTGGGGGGAACCTCGTCGGGAGCAGCGTGGAGAACTGAGCTAGTGAAGAACTCGGAGCCACAGAGGTGGCGGTGGAGGTCGCGCACGTCAGACAGCGTGAGAGGCGCGCGGTTCAGGCGCGCAGTGGTTGGCTGGAGCAGCTGAGCGGTAAGTCCCACCACCAGGTCGCAGTACTCGGGCTCCGAAGGGACGGTCTCCATCGCGCTAATGAGCGGTTCATCGTCAGTATCATCACAGGGGTCCGTGGGGTAGAGTTTGAGGAGTTCCAGAAGGGCCTGCGAATCATCCCGGGACTGGGCCGACGTACCGTGGGTAGGGATAGCGGTAGAACCGGCGGCGCTGGACCGGGACGTGGTCAGCTCCGGCAGCACAGCAGGGCGGATATGAGGGGTGGTGGCGAGGTAGGCTGTGACACTCTTTGCCTTGGCGATTTGCCGGGAGAAGTAGGTAAGGAGCTTCCAGCAGATCAGGGTCTCCTTGGCGTCGAAGTAGAATGGGGCTTTGAGAAGCTGGCTGCGCCGACCAAGATCCTGCGAGCGGGACAGAAGCAGGCGGCGGATATGCCACAGTGCGCGAAGGTCAAACACATTGGTCGGCTCCACGTGTGGGGTGGAGAGATCCGGGGGGGATGGGGATAGCAGGACGCTAGTGTATTTGCCCACATGGTGAACCGCAAGGAGGACCAAGGAGTTGCGGATAACGCGGTGACCCGGAGAGACCTGTGCTGAGTCGGCGAAGCCGAATTTGTTATCACGGTCGTGGTAGAAGTTGAGGATGATATCCCGGGTCTCGGCGCAGTCTGAGCTGACGAGACGGAATAGGTTCTGCGTGTTTGGATAGCCGAGGACACCTGCGATAGCGGGAGCGGAATCATCCATACGACGGATAGTGGCAGTAGAGATGTCGATGGTACCGACGTTCTCCAGAGACGCCTCCTTACCCCTGGACTGCGCCATATCTAGATATGGGAGACACGACCAGACGTAGAAAGGGTAGAAACTAGCACCCAGTCAGCTCATCGAGGTCAAATCGGAGAGGGGGTAATACAAGGTGTGTATGGAATAAGAAGGTAGTAGAAAAGACGACCAACAAAGACTGGACTACTGACCTTGGTCAAAGACGATCGATCAAGCGC